GGTTCTTTTAGTTTATTAGATTAAATTTTATCAACAAAATATAATGTATACTCGATTGATTTAAAACATGGTAAATAATTGTTTGGATAATGTCAGGGCACCGGCCCTGGACTGTCAGCGCGTATAATATGTATAATATATAAAAACAGTGAATGCAACTCAACTGATAATGTTTTTTAAAAATTCTATTACTTGTTAAAATAATTATTTAAATGTCATAGTATGTGTATAACTTAAATAAAATGAATACTTTAAGGATGAATAATGTATATTTCATTCAATTTTAAAATTAATACACCCCTTTGTACATTATTTATTTACTAAAAAAACAAACTCGTTTTTATTTTCATTTTATTTTATGCGTATAAATTCAATAACTTTAGTTCTTTCTAAAGTGCTTAAGTCACGTAACGACTCTAGTAACAAAATATAAACTTGTTGATTTTAATACATATTAAGTAACCATGTCTTAACGCCTCTTTGGTTAATGTTTGGTTAGACATTTAATAAAAAATAAAATTTAAGTATTGTAATAATGTTTTCACAGAATAAAGTTACTGAATTTTTTAGTATTATAAAATATAATGTTTAAGAGTACATTTGCTATCCGTTGAGGTTTAACTTTTAAAATACTATTGGTGTACCTTTTGCTACGCATGTTAGGATATTTTGGGCTTCAAAACATTCAGCTAATGTATTTTGTATTTTTATGGGATCTCTGGAGTATATAATATAATTATATGAGCATACAAATGACCTCATTTTATCTAACAGCATCGATTCTCAATATGTATTTTGTTAACTTGAATACTTCCCCATGATTTACTTAATATTATTTACATCAGTTTAATAATTTTTTATAGAAATAGTTATACTTCTTGAACTGTTTTAAAAGTTATTGTTAATATTATAGCTAACCTAGGCTAGGAAAGTTATTGCATTGTAAGGGTAAAAAATTGTGTATATGTTTTTGAAAATTCCAACTACTATAATTATTATTTCAATTAAAAATAATAACAGGTTAAAATGTACTGATAGTTTTCAAAACATTTCAAAGCTTACCAATTTTTTTCATAAGACATGTCTTTAATGTTTATTTAACTTAAATTATTTAATAATTGGCGAGACAGAGTCGCTTAGGAGATGCAACTTTTTAGAAACTAATTTTTTTACTTCATTTTAAAAAACTAATTATTAATTTCAAAATTTAATTTTTTAAACACTTATTTCATGTTCTAATGAAATTTAAATTTGTTAAATGTTACTAACTACATTATTTTCTGTTGTTTGATATTTGCAAATAAGTTAAAAAGTTTAAAAGTATTTTGTGAAGTTATTGTTTGACTGATGATAGAATTAGGTAGCACAATAAAAAAAAATTAGTTTGATCAGGTGTTGTGAAGCGTTTTCGAGGTCGAGTTTGGAGTATATTACATCATACTCACCCGAGGTGGATTGTAAAGAAAAACTAAATTCGGGCGTGAACGGTTTTAAAACCGATTAATTTCAATTATCTAAGTATATAAACTTATTAAGATTATTGTTTTAATAAATTACCACCATTGTTACGTAATTAGTATAATTTTATGTTATGACTGTTGTAACATTTAAAATTTTAAGCAAATTATCAAGACATATAAGAATGTTCTTTTGACATTAGCCACTCGATTTCTCCTAATATAATAATTATATTAAAAAATTATTTTTGTTTTTTTCTCTAGATTATTTATTTACATAATTAATTAGCTCATAAAATATAAAATGATATAAATGGAAACATTCTTATTTAGCTAGTTTATAAATTGAAGAGTAGAGGGAGTAACAGTATTTTTTTCGATTTTGATTATATGGTTTGATTTGATAGCCCATTAGCAAAAAATTTGGAGTTTCGTAGTTTTGCTACGAAGGCAATTTATCATAAACGGGACATTTAAATAATACAATAGGAATCTTTATAAATACACATGCAAAGAGTATGAGTTAAAACACTGACTGAAAATTTTATACATAAATACTGTCAGTGTGATATTGAATATTTCTTTAAACAATATACAAATAAATTTTAGGTATAGGCAAGAGGGGTGTATAAAGTAGTGGTATTTTTATATACGTTCTATTAGAAATAGAACGTCACTAAACACTTAACTCGTCACTTTTTTTAAATCTTTACTATTAGCGTTTAATGCTAATATCTTATAAATCAATATTGCAAAACTGATTATCAACCATTCAACATTTAATTTTGGTCAAAACAACTGTAGTTGATTAAAGGTCCCAAGACAGTTTAATTGCCTTCTGAAGGGTACTTCCCAAATGTATTTAATTTAAAACCAAATGAAAGATAGATGGAAAAGTCGGTGTTAATTTTTTTTTTTTAAGTTCGTATTTCAATTTTTTATATACATAATAATAACAGTAACATATTTTTATATAGTTTTAGTAATTTTTAAAGATGTTGCTATTTTTTAACTAATAAAATAAATTTAAAATTTAAGAATTGTGAGATTTTTAATATCTCTACGTTTTAGAAGATAGTATAAAATCTAGTATTTTATGATTTTAAAAATTGTATAATTAAACAATAGTACACATTTAAAATTACGAAGCATAAAATTCAAGACCTTTTAGTTATAAAACTACTATATTTATTAGTTTTATTTATAAAATTGTATCCTTTAATATCGTGATTGAAATTTAAAGCGTACAATAACATATAACATTTTTATATTTCATACTTAACTTCACTTAAATCTGATTAACGGTATATTATTATGCTATGCGTCATCTAATAGGTCATTACGCATAACTACTTCCTCCTACAGTCTAATGGAATTTTGTGTCAACTTTTTGCATCTTGTTTACCTACCAAAAGTATTTGTGCAGTTAACGCCAGCGATTTAATGAAAATTATTTTACAAATATTTTTAACACATTTAATTAAAAAAGAAAATTAAATGTTTAAAAATAATTTACATTTATATTGTATAAATGATGTATTGTATTTAAATATTATTTATATTATAATATAATGTTAATTAGATAAATTGTTTATATATTTTAAATAACCTTATGTTGTTAGAAATTTGGTGAAAATCATTATCATTTGGACAAAGCTTCCATTTATTTTAAAACTTTTCGAGCATGTATATTATACTTCATGTATTTTACAATTTTTGTATCAAACATTATTTAAAAAGTGGAAAAGTCATCAATAAAGTCCGGAATTATATGCATTTATAAATTTTATTTAGTTATTCCAAACACACCATCAGATAGTACAAAATTTTATTGTCTTGAAATCTTATTACTGTGTTGTTACCAAAGTTATAGTTTTAGGGATGATTAGGGATTTTTACAAAATAACCTTTGTGATAACAATCATTTTGTTGATAACTGGGGTGATATACTATTATTTAGTAGCCTAATGTAAATAACTTTTTTTGTGTACATTATGACAGTATTATGACAATAGTATTGTGTATGTATATATCATGTTATGATTTACTTTTTCAGTGGACATATATCCGATTCTTAATAATACAAAATAACACAAACAACCTTGAAATTGTTGATATGTAATTTTTTAAAGCATTTATTTTTTATATTGCTTAGTTTCGTTAAATTTAAATTTAATATTATAACACTGGTAACATATTAGTTTGATTGTACACATTTCTATGACATCTATTTTAATTTAATTTTGATTATTATATTGATATTTAAATTTGTTTTGATTTCATTTTTTCTGTATTTTTATCTCTATAATAACTATAAGAGATATAAACAGAAAAAATAAACGGCTTGATGTTACAAGAGAGGTGTAGGGTGATTAAATTTTTCGGGGGAACTAAACTTAATTTTGCCCTATCTAAAAAATATTTTTTATATAACAATGCATATTGTTTTACTGAATTTATGGTGGCACTAAGCCCCCCCTAGCCTTCCTTGCCATACGACAAAACCAGATGAGTCAGATAACTTTTTCAGAAAATAATTTTTTGTTTATTTTAAAGAATTGTGAATTTTTACATAACTTAACACAGAAACGAATTCTATATTCCTTTATTTGTGGAGATATTTAATTTAAAAAAAAAAAAAACATTTTACTACTGCTGCTTTTAATAAAAAATTTATGACAAAATTGTTTGTACTAAAAAATTAAAAAAAATGGACTTATCTGATTGTTGCACCAAGTCCTTCAATTTTTATAAAATAATATTTATTGTTTACTACTAATGTAAATGTTCTTTAAAAATATTCAATTAATAATTATTTTTAATACATATGTGTGTAAAATTTGATGTTTTCGAGTCTCTAATAGACGAATATTTTCTATTTTTCGTAACATGTGTTACGTTTTATAAAGAGTTGTCCAACTGTATTATTTTGGTATCTTCCAAAGCTCTATTTTTGTTGCTTCTCTAATTCCCTTCACTATAAAAAACTAATGCACTTAAGTACATTATACATTTTTGGACGGAAATCGTATGAGATTAGAACTTGACTATAAATTTTTCATTATGTACTACTACAAGTTTAATGATCTGTGTATATTCATATGTGTTACTAATTAGCATTCATATTAATCATGACTTATTAAATGACATGAAATATATTATTCTGAACTAATTATTTTAAGGATGAGGTTTAACTGTATAAGAAATCTGAAAATAAAAATTCCTATGATAAAATTTGTTTTTTATTCGTTGTATTAATTAATTGTTTTTTGTTTTGTGAATTTATCTGAGTTAAATGTATTAAAATTGACTGATTTTTAATTTGCATAAATGAAAATGTTCAATAGTCTATTATGGAGTAAACAATTACCTATTGTTTATAGTGTTTGTTGTTTAGTATTTAAGTTTTTTACATCAAACACATCATGTTACATCTGTTTACTAAATTAAGCCGTTCCATTATTTGTGAATATACTGTAACTAATAATAAAGCTTAAAACAATTAACGTCATTGATATTAAACGTAAAATAAAACATTTTCAGACTTTCATAAATCACGATGTCTTCCTTCTATCAAATCAAATTTTTAATTAGCCAAAGACTGCGGTATCTCAACGTCTCGGCCTCAGGGCCAGGACGATCGCGATGAGTCCGCCAGTTCTTTCGGCTGATATGCTGATATCGTCTAGGACAACCACAGAATATATACACAACAATAATAATAACGAAGACGAAATTCGTTGTGACAAACCGGTACTAAACACAGAAGAGCTGGCGCTGTTAGCAAAACTTGAAGAGGCCAATAGGTGATGTTCTAAATTATTTAAATTACCTTTGCATTATACTTAAGTGTTAAAATTATAAAAATATTAGCTTTGAATAATCTGTTTTTGGATTAATGTTAGTTAGTTTTTATGAGCAATGAATGCGACACTTAAATCACAACGTTCGATTTTAAGTGTAAATTAAATAGATTTCTCTATGTCAAACTAAACAATTTCTTTATTTAGTGTCTTCTAATAGTCTGCAATAAATTGGGTATTAATGACAATTTATTTGTGCTATACATTATTAGTCGACTAAATTTGATTTTAATAGTGGTATATATAATCAAAAATCATAGCAAATTTTAAGAGCAAAATTTATAATTTGTCTGATTTCTGTTTAACCGTATCCATACTTTCTTAGTATTTATGCAAAATAGAATGTAAATGCAGTTATTTGTTGTACCGACAAACTATAAAACTTGTCTATTTTTTACTTATATTTAAGTGTTTACACGTATGTCAAATAGTTATAATTCAAATTTCAATGACCATACATTTACCATTGTAAACATTATAAAATATGTTTGAACTTAAAGTAGGTAATTACTTACACTTAACTCAGTATTCTGTAATCATTACTAGTAACAATTAACTACACGGAACATTTTTATTTACTTACGTTAGTTCGTTGTTGAAACTCCTCGAGAAATAATGTTTTTTTATAAGACATTAACTTAAAAAATGAATTTTTCTAATTAAATGATTTGTTTTACGTGTTATATTTAATTTTTCTTGTAAATATAAGTTGTGTTGGTATAATAAAAAAACTCAGTGTGAAGCTGTAGATAATTTAGCCAGATTTAATATGTATGGAACATACTTTGACATAACTTATTTTAATATTTTGATTTCAATAACAATAATTCAGTGATCTTTATGGTTTAACTGAATCAATTAAAACCTGAAAATATTTGTAAGTATAATTAAACATTTTCTATGGATAAATTATTATTTAATTAATTGTATTTTATGACTATTTAATATTTTAAGTCATTTAAAATATAAAATTAGTATCATTAAAAAATAAGACAAACTAATTTTTATTTTGAATGTTTTGTCTTATGAAATAATTTTTTTATTTTTATTTCCTTTTTATTGTTATAATGTATTCTTCATAACATATTTAGCCATATTCATCTTCAAACATTCATAAAATTCGCGTATGTGCCTAAATAGTGCAATACATAATTTACACTAATATGTTAAAGATAAATAAATCAAATTATTACTGTTTTATAGGTTTCTTATGAAGCTCTATATCATTAAATAATAATTTAAAAATAAAAAAATTAATTTTATAATTTAAAAATTTAATTTTAACAATAATTTACATTATTTTGTAATACATTTTACTTTTTTATTCATTGTAAATTGCTTAAGTTAAAATATTTCTATTTTACTGTTAAATAAATTAGCTTACCTACATTGTAGTTAAATTATTCTTCACTTGTTGTAAGACATTTGAGTAAATAAACATGTTTTAAACCTTGAAAGCGTCTAAATATTCTCGAATACTAATTATAAATTACAAATTCTTTTTCTTTTTTTAACTAATACCATTTCTCCCCATAGAATGATAGAACGATCAAGTTTTAACAATTTAAATGTTAGCTTCCTATGTTAACTTTTCTAGTAATATTTAAATACATTAACAAACTTTATCTACATTATTATTTTTATAATTTATAAAAACTATTTTTGCTATAGCGTAATTAAAGTGTAATTTTATTCGATTAAGCCCTTAATATTTTTTTAATATTGTGGCAATAGAGTTGTATCGACAAGTTTATGTTACTCGTTAATAAGCTATTAAAACAGTTAAAAATAAACAGACTGTCGAGCAATCTTTTGAGCTTATCATTTATTGCTTATAAACGATAGCTAATATCGATAAATACCATAATGATTTCAACGTTTTATGACGAATATGTGAGTATCACACGACTTCTTTGTTAGTATATAATTGTATTGCTTTCTTTTTCGATTAGTGTTTTATCGTATCACACAAACACAAAATATGAACGTTGATTAATACACATAATGTCGGTTATATCCGTGTTAAACTTAAAGGTAGACAGTGGTGATTGATTATTACTTTTTTTTTTTTATTAAAAATGACTATTTTTTACGATACTAGGCTCATTGAATCGGATGCTAAATCACTGAATTCTATATCAAACAACAGTACGCATTCTAGAAAGAGCTCGGATGCATCTCAGATATCACTAGTATCCGGTAAGTGAATTATTATTGTATTTTTACAAGTTATAGATGAGGTTGTTTTGCATTTATAGAGCAAATTAGGTATTCAAAAACACAACGTGTACGCGACATGGATATCATTATGGTATCTACTGAATTTCGCTTTTTATTTTAATAATGTACAGACGACATGTTTTTTTATATTCAAAATAAGATTACCTTAAAATCATAACATCTAATTTTTCTCAAACCAAATCTATAATCTTATTTTACGTTTATTTTTTATTTAAAATTATTTCAGAAATCTACTTCACTTTTAGTTTAATATTTAATAGAATAATGTTCTTAATGCAGTTAATTAATCATTCATTATGAAGTAATAAAATTTATTACGCTTGTTATTTGACGCCGATTTATATTGCCGCGGCTGCTATAAACCTATTCAGGTGTGTTTTCATAATAATTATTTTTAAATAAATAGTGAAAAAATAGTTATTATAGTTATAAATACATATTTTAGCATTATATTGGCAAATACTAATTTATCATTAGATAAACTTTAAGTAAACCTTGTTTTTGTAAATGTGCAAACATTTTTTTACAATATTTTACCTTCCACAATGGAACCAATAGATTAGGTTTTAATTCAATTTCCCCTACAGTTCTAAACCTTTGTCTTTTCGAGTCAATACGATACCGTCCAAATAATGTTTTTTTCAGTTGTGATTTTTAAATTTTTTTTTTTTTTTACAAATTTGATTGTTTTTCTAATATATTACGTAAGTTAAAACCTTTAAGTATTCTAATAAAATAATTTGAAATATATGTATAATACAATCATAAACTCAGTGTCGAATTAAGGAATGGGATCCCACACATTAGTTAAGGTCTGGGAACTCTACATTTCTAAAACCGGCCCTATACAAAGTATATCATGAGTCAATTAATATATCAGATAAATCTGTTAAATATCAAGTTTTAAAATTTCTTTGTCACTAATATGGAATACATATCACAGAGTAATCATGTTTAAATAATTTATATTATTCATTATTTTCATACTAATTATTAAAAGTCAAATAAAAAAACTTTTTCGCACAAACCAAAGACTAATTTTATTTACTAGAAGATATATTAAAAGAGGTGAAAATAATTGATTATTTTAAGATTTTTTATCTTGTGAAATTATATTTTACGTAAAAAAAATTAATATAAAATAACATTTTTTTAATCTCTTTCTCAGTATTCCAAAGTGAAAATACTGATTTTTATATGAAATATTATTTATTTTTAAATATTTAATTTTATACTTAAGCTTATAAAAAAAAAATATATCAAATCACGTAGACCGGTACAAATACTTATATAAAAATATTTTTATTTGCATTTTAATACAAATTTTTTACAAAATTCAATAATATTTACTTCGACCCATATGTTACATTGAAATAGATAGAAATCTATGGGTAGCACAATACATTTACCTTAATAAAACTATTATATTTTATATTTATGTATACACACATATCTTATACAATAATTTTATTATATCTCAAAGCCAATAAAACACAAGAATAGCTAAATTTTATACATTTGTATAACTTGTAAAAAAAAATCAAATTTTCATGAATAAAAAAGTCAATTATTATTATTTTAGATACTAGTCATCAAAAATAATTTAACTATATATTTTTTTTCTTCTCTTTTATTAAACTATTAATAATCATTTATTAATCTCTATAGTTAACCATTTTATTTCCATAATTTGCAGTATTTTATATGTTTTAGTAGATATTCATATGCTTAATCATTTTGTATTATTCTAATTGAATAAATTAAATTCTAACTAATGACATTTTCAACCTAGTTAATGACACTGTATTGCGTTATTTTCTACCGACATACTTAAACAATCTTATGATAATAGTACATTTTAGTAACTTGGTCTAATTATTCTTTGAATTTTAAATCATCAAATGTTATAGTTCTTTGAATAATTTAAATAAGTACATTTTATCTGTGTTTCAAAAAACCCTAATTTTGTTTATCATTTGTTAATTATTTAACTAATTATATTTATTTATCAAAATCGTGGTAAGTTTTAAAATAATTTACTATGCAGTCTTAATAATACTTAACACGTTTTTAAAATGTAATGTTCGTTAAAAAAATATGATGATGAATAATTTGAAAATATTAATTATTATTTATTTCATTATTTATCTTACATTTAACGGTTACTTGTATTCAATGTAGTTATAAGATAATATATCTTTTCAATTATTTAAATAATGATTGGTCACATAGATGTATTTTTTTCGCTAGTAATAGTTGTAATTGATAGTCCGTGAACTCAAATAAAATCATTCTCAGTTTCTATTTACCATCCTAATTTAAAATTATTTTTATTTTTAAAAGAAAGATCACTACTTCACATTAGTGTTAATAAAATTTTAAATATACAGTTATAATTTCGTATTATTTTATTTAAAATACTTAAACATTTTTTTTTACGATTTATCTTCTATATTATTAAGATAAATTAATTCAGTAATTATGTTTGTCGTTCTATTTCTCTTTAACTGTTTTTTGTATATTAGTACATATAATTTATTATTTCTAATTAGTTTATATTCCTATCTATATAAAACTATTTTGATTTGATTTTGCTATAAAAGAATTAAAGGAAATTGTTTAGAGTGTTGCTTGTTCACCCATTTGGTTTCGATATTGATGTAAATAAAGTTATGCATAAGCTTTACTTGATAAAGTTTAAAATATACCAGAGTGAAATGAATAAAATCTTTGGTTCGTACCAAATACTTAAAAAATCTTTTAACTCTATATTTGTTAGTACATGCTAAAATCATTTGAGTTGTTTGAAGTGTTCTATAAAATTTATAATACAATTAAATATTGTGCTAAAATTGTATGCATTTAATTAGGTACGAGTTCCAGTCAAGATGGTGAAGAAGACATGTGGGGACTATGGGGCCAAGTGGTCAACGACTGGGAGAGTTACAGTAAGAAAAAAAATGCTTATCTAAAAGAACTAGTTCGTAAAGGAGTTCCACATCACTTCCGTGGTATTGTGTGGCAACTGCTCTGTGGTGCTAATGATTCTCCAATTAGGAAACAGTATCCAGAATATATAAAATCCACTTCTGCATGTGAAAAGGTAGATTTATCTTTATATGAAGATAAATATTCTATTTAGAGAAGAAGAAGGGTTAAATAATTATTATATTTTTATTTTCAGGTTATACGGAGGGATATTGCACGAACATATCCTGAACATGACTTTTTCAAGGAAAAAGATGGTCTGGGTCAAGAGAGCTTATTCAATGTTATGAAGGCCTACTCATTGCATGACCGTGAGGTTGGTTATTGTCAAGGTTCTGGCTTTATAGTTGGGTTATTGTTAATGCAAATGCCAGAAGAAGAAGCATTTGCAGTATTTGTTAAAATTATGCAAGATTACAAAATGCGTGACATGTTCAAACCATCTATGGCTGAACTAGGTTTATGCATGTATCAACTAGAAAACTTGGTCCAAGTATGATGTTATTTTTTTTTTGTTTTTGATGTATAATTTTTAAAACATCTGATGTATTACAGGATCACATTCCAGAACTTTATGTACATTTTCAATCTCAAAGCTTCCATACTAGTATGTATGCCAGCAGTTGGTTTTTGACACTATTTACTACGGCATTAGCTTTACCAACGGCATGCAGGTAATTTCTCAATTATGTGACAATTATAAATAGAGACAAAAAAAGGTATAATTTAGAACAGGTTGTGTAAAATATTCTTTATTTAGTACATGTATGGAGGAAAACAAATCATCTGGGTGTATTTTCTTATCATAACAATAATACTTATTTTCCTCAAAAAATTTCCTCAATGACTTATTTCCTTTTAACACCACTTTATTTTGTCTGATTTAAAAAATTAAATATTATTTATTCTTTATAATATTTATTTTGTTTATAGAATTATTGATGTTTTCCTTTCGGAAGGAATAGAAATAATTTTTAAAGTAGCATTAGCATTACTTCAACTAGGCAAAGACGATCTTTTATGCTTGGATATGGAAGGCATGCTGAGAGTATGTTATTGTTTATGATAATAAAATGAACAAATCATGTTTTCTTATGAATAATAAATCTTAACTTAGAATATAATCAATTATCTTATTAAGTATTTGGGTTTTTAGTTTTTTCAAAAAGAATTACCTACTCGTGCCAATTCTGATCCAGATGGTTTAATGGCCTTAGCTATTACTATAAAATACAATACTAAACGGATGAAAAAACTTGAAAAAGAATATACAGCTATCAAGAGCAAAGAACAAGAAGAAATGATTGAACTGAAGGTACCCAGATTATAACAATATTAATTTTATTCTCTTTGTTGATATTGCACTTAATTCATTTAAAGTTAAATGAAATTAATTTATTCTTTCTTTATCATTATTTTTATTGCTTAATTAATATTTTTGACCATTGTTATCTTTAATATATATTTTTATGTGACATAAATGATTTGGTTTTTAATATAATCTATGAATTGTTCTTTTAATGCAGCTATAAAACTATTTGCTGCTTTTCTTATTTATTTAATTTTTCATTTAATAGCAAACTTATTTAAAGCAAATAAAAAAATTAATCATGTTCGTAATTTTTTTTTTTTTGTAGAAACTTCGTACAGAAAATCGTTTGCTTAGACAAAAAGTTGAACTTTTAGAAGCGGAGTCCAGTGAATTAGCTGGTTTATTAGTAAGAGGACAAGTTTCTCGTGCTGAAGAAGAAGAAACAACTTTTATTGTACAAAGGGAACTAACAGCCTTGAGACATACCCATTTGGAAACTTCTCATGCTCTTGAAAATGCTTTAGAAGAGATAAAACAAATGTCTGTTTTGATAGCAGAAAATGTATGCTAGTATAAAATAAATTTTGAAATAAATTTTCTATTCATTTTTTTTGAATAATCATTGTTACAGCATAATTCTTGTCAGTCATCCTTAGATGAACTTTCATTAAAACAAGAACAACTATCACTAAAAGAAGAAATGATCAAAGATCTTCAAAATGAACTAGTTAAAGTAAGATTAAGGGATGCTGAAAATGAAGCAACAATACGTGATCTGAAAGATAGGATTAGTGAATTAGAACATGTAATTATTTTTTTAATTTTACATTTTACTTATCTTATTACCATGTTTTATTTAATCAATTATTTGTTTACAGGACAAAAAAACACTTAGAGAATCAGTTGTTGATAATTCCGTAGCCCATTTGCAGGAGGAGTTAATAGCTGTAAAATTAAGGGAGGCAGAAGCAAATTTATCTTTAAAAGATTTAAGACAGCGTGTCAATGAAATAAATACTCAATGGCAACGACATATCCAAGAAAAAAAGAGAATTGATCCTCCACCAGCACCTGACTCAACTCCAAAAAAAATTGGCAATTTATTAAATTGGAATAATACTGAAACACAGCGACTTGAAGAAGAGTTGATGTCAACTAAGCTTCGTGAAATGGAAACATTAGCTGAGCTCAAAGAATTAAGATTAAAAGTAATTATTACATAACAAATATGTAGCTACTATTTATAATTTATTGGATTTTTTAAAAAAAAAAATATTAGGTCATGGAACTAGAAACACAAGTGCAAGTAAGTGGTAATCAATTAAGAAGACAAGATGAAGAAAATAAAGCTGTATTAGAACAGCTTGAACTTGCAGAGACAAAACAAAGAGATCTAGTTGTTAAATTTAGAGAGCAGCAAAATAAGTATACAGATTTAGAATCTAAGGTTAGTATTGATATACAATTTTAAAATATGCTGCAGCATTATTATGTTATTATTATATTTAGATGAAACACGACACAATATCTTCAAGAATACGTGAAGCTGAACATGCTCAAATGGTTGCAGAGCTTAACCAAAAAATATCTCGATTAGAAGTTAAAGTTAGTAAATATATATTCTAAATAATTGAACTTGAATAAATATTGATTTTTTAATATAGAATGAAGAAATGGTGACTGAAGGTGAACTTAGGAATAATTCTTTAGACGACAGTGATAAAGTCAAAGAACTCCAAGATAAGGTAGCTGATCTCAAAGCTGAAGTGAGTAATAAATTGATAAAGTAAATTGGGAGCAAACAATTTATATGCTAAAGTCATGCTTAACTAATTTATTAATAATTTTCAAACTTAACAAAACGTAATTAATAATATTAAAGTTACTATCAATTCGTTAATAAGAGATGGTGGCATATACATTAATGATATCTTTATCCCAGCTTTATTGTGCAAAAAGTACTAAATAATTTTATTGTTATTATAATTTTGTTTAAATGCTTCAAAAAACTCGAAACATTTATATAAATTTAAAAAATAAACCATATGAAAATATAATATTTATGTCTATAAAAAAAAAAAATTCAACTTTGTATTATAATTACAAAAATTAATAATAAATAATAAATTTATTATTTAGTCACTGCTTGCACAAAGATGACAATATAGTTGAATGTTTATTTAATTTTTATTATCATAATGAATTATAGGTGAGTTTTAAAATAAGTTATTTTTTCCACCCTTAATTATCTATAAAATAATATTTTACCTAGAAATGATATTTAAATGGTTAAAATATTATTAATAAATTATACCATATCAATTTTTAAATTTTATTGTTCTCAAGTAACATTGTAAATTTCATAGGAAGTCAAAATAATTTCAGGATTTAACGATACTTTTGATTAACTACCACAGGCTTACTTTTGGAATTTCTTTGTTCTCAAGTTGATAGTTATAAAAATTAATGAGACTATGCTAGTTTCATCTTTTGTCTTAGTTTTTTATGTCATATTATTAAATTATTAATTGCAAATAAATGGCTTAATTATATATAACTTGGTGGTGGTTATTACTTATAAAAATATTATCTTGTTTAAATAGTGAACTAAGTGTAATTTTTTTTTTTTTTTTGGGGACTTTCTATTTGTAAAATGATAATAGTATTTTTTTATTAGCTCAATATTATAAACATTCAACATTGACATAACTATGCTTATTTATTAACACTGCAGCATGCTTATTATATTAACAAACTATAAAATGGTGTTTTAGCTACTCTCACCGACCACGCCAGATGTCGAGCCATGGAAGTGGCTAGGCTAATACAGTGAGTGTGCACTTTCTTTTTCTAATTTTTAACACTTAAAGTTATTTAACTAATGTAATTGAATCAGCATGTAAATTTATTTTTATAATCATTAAAAATCTATTAAAAATGTGTAAACTTTGCATAACAATTTTTTTCCAAATATAAAATATATATTGAAAAACAATAATTTATTATTTTAAAGGTAATGCGATTAGAAGCATGGAAACAAAGATGGGTGAACAATGGTAACTCTATGGCTAAAACTGAGCGATCAGGGTCAGTAGATACTATAGAAAGTGAAATGGATGATTCCTCAGATTTTCATCTACGAATAAATAGCTGAAATATTTTTGACTTGTAATTATTTTAGTCATATTATTGGATAATTTCAATAGGTCAGTTTATAATTTTTTATACCAAATCCCTAAATAGTCTTAATATATTCATATTTTTAACCTGGCCAAATATGGGTTGCCGTCCTATTATTTTTTTTAATTTATATTTTCAAATATTTATATTTATTTGTTTAATTTTTTAAATGTGTATTTAATTTAATACTTATTACAGCAATAAGTATATGTTGTTGTTTTTTTTTTTTTTTTTGTTACCTTATTTTTGTACTTGACGTGGTATTTTTCTAATGAAATATTTCAGTTTTATTTTTACTTAAATTTGAACTCAAATTTTACAATTTTAATCGCACAAACTAAAATTTTTAAATAGAAAAAATTGCGATGGTGCAATTTGGGATCTTAAAAGTATTTTATAAATTATAAAAACACAATTTTTTTGCACAAAAATTATTTTTCTATCTTTATTGTTTAAATTACCAAAAAAATATATATATATATATTTATGTAATAATTAATTTAATATTTGACAATTATTAATCTTACTCCATAGATATTCTTTATTGTTGATTTCATATTTTGTCATTATAATTTGTCTTTATTTTAACCTATTTTGATAAGTAGAAAGTATTTCAGTATTCTTTATTCATTAAGGTTTTATGATTATTAAAAGTGTCTACATAGTTTAAGGTGAAATAGTATGTGAATTTAAGAAGGTTTAATTATTAAATACATTAATTAACACTAAATACTGAAACTTCAAATTAATAATTATCATGTAATTTTTAAACATTTTTCTATTTTAACTATTGTGATATATTCAATGTAACAATTACTGATCACGTCATGTTTCCATGTATATACAAACTATAATCATAGCAATAAATTATTTACTCAAATATTAAAATTTCATTTTAGTAAATTTTCAATATTAAGTATTACTTTATAATTACTCATACGTAATATGAAAATATAGATTTAATTGTAAATGAGCTATTAATTAAGTGGAATTTGGTACATAGCTCAAATTATTATTATTTAAGTCAAACCAGCATAAAAACATAGAAATAAGTCATAGTAAATTTAATGAAACATGTTTATTAGTTAAGAAATTATTCAATTGTGTAGAAGTGATTATAACCGTGTTTGTGTATTAAATTGTGATTCTGTTTGTTTGTATTACTATATTTTAAAAATATTATTGATATTTATTTGATTTATATAAATATTTATGTATAACTGGCAGCATAAAATTGCTCATTTTTTTATTAAAGAGAGCAAAGGTTAACATGTGTACCTATCATGTTTTGTAATTAGTTATCTTTTTATATTTTAATCCAAATAAAGAAAATTAAAATAATGATCGTGCAATTAAAAAATAAATATTTTAATAAAACTGTCTTACTGCTAATTTATCTTGAATGTTTTAAAAACCATAACATAAATTAAGTATAATACAACTTTTAATTAAATGTTAATTTTCAATTCTTAAGGTTTAAAAATTACCTTAAATCATTTAAAAGGTGAAAAAAATTGTGATTTAATTGATGGATTTGTTCACACGAAAGAGATGCATTCAGAAAACTGTCATTCTAAACACCAGTGTTAAAGTTATCATTGTCATTAAAATTTTCATTTGAATTTCCAGATTTTCTCATATAACCGTTCCCCCTGTTATTGTGCCCTCTGTTATTATTGTTTCCTCTGTTGTTGTTGTTGTTGTTGAAACTTCCGCTACCGCTATTAAAATGTCCAAAACCGTTGTTAACATTTCCATTGCCATTATTCCAAGATCCACCATTACTCTCGCATACGGTACCTCTGATTAGTTCGGATACTGGTGTGGTGAAAACACGGTAATTGACATCATTGAAATCAAAACGGTTTACCTGAAATCGAAATAGGGGCATCCTATCACTGAGTACCCAAAAGTTGGATTGCGAATCCACTTTTAGATCGGAAGGGAAAAATAGCGTCGTGCTGTCTTGGGCTACGATTGCGCTATTTTCCATCGAATGCCGTTGATTACGTCTGGGATTCCAACAGCCAATAGCGTCTTGGTTTACCAATGCAAAGAATAAAGCGCCAGACGATTCGTCCATTGATATCGATGCGGCTTGCATACCAGAGGGACGGTATCCGACGTGTTGAAACTGTTCGAAATTCTGTGCGTTTGTACTGGTATTTGACTGCAACAAACGTGTGTTGACAGAAAACATCCGCGTGCTAGCCAATGCCTGGAAGTAAAGAGTCCGGTAACCGTCAGAATGGCGTTCCGACAAAGCCAAACCAAACACACCATCGTACCAGTCCACTAACCGTACGCCTCCCATGTTGAATACTGACGATAAAGGATCAAAGTAGAAATAAGGGTGTCGAATACGCCACGCCTGATTGGCTTGAAAACTGTATACGACTAAGCCATAGCCGATATCAGGCAAGTACGCGAACGAGCGATCACATGCTCCCGGTTCGGAGTCAACAATTAGACCAGGGAACCAGGTTTCACTGTTTCTCAATTGTTGGTTGATGGTGAATTGTCTCACTATTCGATCTCGATTTAAATCAAATATAAACAATTGTGGCTCGCCCACAGTGGTGCCATTGGAAGCTCCCATGTCAATCGCCCATAAGCGGTCACACTTATCCACGCTCAACCGGAAAGTGTTGATAATGTGGTCAACTGGCCGTTCGTAACTGGTTGGCAAACGGTTCATTTCATAACTTGGATATGGAATGAGAAGAGGAGACCGATTTCGGTTATCTGCAAATAAGTGTTTAATTTTTAATTAACAAATTATTTCACACTTATTTTATTTAAACATAACATCGTCGCTTTAGATGCAACACCGTCCTATATCAGTTTTTTAAAGGACAGCAAAAATGTAATTTCTATGTCAATTAAACTGCATATTATTGTGTTATCATTTTTTTTTTTTTTTTGAAGTCCACCAGTTTATAGTTTAAATACAATGGTGTAGGCCAAAATATAAGGTGGGTTCTGTTACACCATAAACTACAATATGTAAATAACTACTTTAATGAGAAGAATTAATGTTGGATTTAATATAATATTTAAAAATATAATAAATGACAACTTTTGAATTTTGCACTATATTTTTTTGGCTTCCGCTTTAGAAATTAATAATGTCATTGTAAGAGAAAAAAATACGTATTATTACATACAGCGTTACAAAAAGTGTTACACTCATTTAATTTAAAATAATTTAAGTTTTAGGTTATTTTAAGTAGATTGAAAATATGAGTAATGCAAAAATACCAAACACTTATTTAAAATGGATAATATCAAAACATTACAAAATGATATTCCAACATACAAATTTATGTAGCCGGGCCCCTCAAACGTCCCGATTTAGTGGGAAAACTTATTTAAAACAAGAATCGGTAACTGCTACAGAATTATTGTTTCAATGTCAAACTCGGAGACTGAAGAAAAGATATGACAGTGAACTAGGAATTGAACTCAAGTCTTTTGGTATATGGGCAAGAACTTTTCCACTAAAAGGTCCCGGTTGTCATATCAAATCCCCACAATTTCCAAGTTTTTTAAGTGGTTGATAACAAAAATTATAATTGTAAACCTCACAGCAATGTATATTTAAAGTTTTCTTAATTGTTTGATTACTTATTTTGTTAAAAATCTCCATAGGCGGTCATGATTTGTTTTCCTCATTAAGACATAATAATGTTTACATGTTTTTATGTGAATCAATGATTGATAAAACTATTTTTACTTAAAGCATAACTATATCATTAGTGTTAAAAAACAGATTTAGCTAATGATTAACATAACTGGTATTTAAAACTCAATAGTTACATTTTTTCATGGAAAATAATTACTGTTTCTTGTTTATTCGAAGTTAGTAAAATAATTAGTCAGTTTTTTTAATAGAGATATATCTTCGCACTATTATCAATTCATTTTAATAAATAACAGTTGTAAAAGAAATAAAGAGTTATAAGTGTATAATTTAGTGTATATTATACTGTAAACTCAATGTATTATAAAAAATGACCAGTTGAAAAACAACATACTAAGACAAATCTATAAACGATCATAATTATATAAGTTACTCAATCATAAATATTAATAATTATACATAGTTTTAATCATCATAATAATTATGCGTATATTGAAATGACTTCATATTCATAGTTAAAAGGTGTTAAAACTTCTTTCTAAGAAGTCATAACATTATAACTAAGAATAAAATATCTTCTGCGATAAATTTTAGAGCTTTTTATAAGGCAAAATTTGAAAATTGTGACTTTTTTCTGTTACATTATAAATGTACACATTATAATGTAAAATTATTTTGATTTCATAAAATTGAACTGCATAATTAATTTTTTTTGAGTATAAAATGGGCGTTTTAACTTTTTTTTAAGAAGTCATAAGCAAATTATTTATTTAGATTAAAATTTCATTTTTAATTTTCAAATTGGCCACATGCCAATCCATCCACATGATGGAACATTCTTTTTTTTTTTTTAATGTACACTTAATTTGTCTAAGTAATACTGGAAACCACATATTAAAATACAAATAAAAATAAATCTACATTGCCCCTACCAGCGGGCAAATTATAGTTTTGACTAAAAAACACTTTTTCTAAACCATTTAAAACATGAAAAATAATAAATATTATTACTTGAGTCTAGATTTACATAATTCAAAGTAGATGCCACGCCGGCTTTCCATCTGGGTACAGTAATGAACAATTTATTTCTCCAAACTTCCAAGCCTAAAGGCAAATTATTTGCTTGTATGTATTCTCTATTGTTGATAGCACGTTGTCTAATCTGTTGGTCGGGAAATACGAAATCCACTTGTCTCCAACTAAACACTTCTTGAAGTCGATCAGTGTCTGCTATTACGTGTGATAATGAAAAACACCCAAAAAAAAACAGAGCTGACAAAACTCGCGCCATTTCTATCTATACAAAAAACAAAATATACATATATAAATATATAAAAAAAATCAGCAGTTCCAACTTCTGAAGATTTTGACCCT